TCAGAGAAATGGAAAATTTGTGAAGTCTCAGCATATATTGTTGTGCCTGAATCAGCTGAAATATGAAGTAACTGATTTGGGGGATATAGAAGGACATGCCAAGAAATGCTTTCAGGCAAAATGTGTGCATTCCCAATTAAAAGCCAGAATTTCTTATGCAATGGCCAAACTAAAAAAGGAGATAAAAATCAGCAAAATATTTTTTAATTATATTGGGGGGGGGGAAGCAATATGTTTTGGGTCAACTTGAAAGTAATTGGGGTTTTGTTTTGTTTGTTTTAATTTAGACAACTGAAGAATTACCGTAAACATCAGAATTAAATTAAACATTTCATTCTTCATTTCCCATTTTCTTTCATTTAATACTCCACAGAAAAATAAATACTATTTCATAACGTACACTGTAAAGTACACTGTGTAATCACAGTTCTGCTTAGGACTGTGAGCACCTGAACTGTGCAGAAGTTCAGTTCAGTGTGTTCACCATTACCGAGAGACAGCCAGAGCTGTAACAACTGTTGCTCACCATTTCCAAATGAGCAACCTCTGACTGGAACTGGTTTTTACAGTTCACCAAACCCTTAAAAAATTCAGTTTTATTGTTCCATTTAATGCCTTAGCCTTACCAAACAAGTTTTTTTTTTTTTTTAATTCCCTTTGTACTCCAGGTAAGAATGTCTCCACGAACAGTGGTTCTTCAGAAAAACTCCATGTTGAGGCAAACATGTAAGAAGATTAATATAAAAGAACCATGCACAAAATTATTAGTCTACTTCAGAACAATGCTTGGAATGTAGCATACACAAACCTCAGCAGGAAAAAATATTATTTAGCATATTTTGTAATTTGTTGCTAAGAAACTGTTGCTTCATTTTACTACTGTCATTTGCAGAAAAGTTTTGATTGTTCTTCTGCCACTCGGATCATCTCATTGTACCAGCTACATAATTAAATGGTTAGAAAGGAAAAAGTACTGGATTGTATTCAATGTGATTTCATCGTCTGTAGCCTGGTCTCCCATATTCTCTCCCGTAACTTACTTCCCTCCAGTAAGCTCTAAAAACCCAAAAAGATTATTTTATGATAACACAGGAAAGATCCTTAAATTTGTTTGTATGTAACATACAAAATCTGTAAGGCTGCAACCACTGTGTTCTCCCTATCTTTCTGTAAGAACTAGTAATGTTCTCCTACAGTACTAATCTACTACCCTCTGTCCAAAAGTAGTTAATAGCCCATGCACAAAGACAGAATAACAACAGAGCAAATAGAAAGTGCCATTTTTCTTCATATTGTCCAGCTATTTGTAGGATTTTTCACCTGGTAGTAGGACCTAATAGTAAACTACAAAATTTAAGTGAATGATTTTCTGTTGTAGAAACAGAACACTTTTTTCCCATGTTTACTAGCTTTTTCAAATATCCAGATAAAGCAGAATTTATTTGCATTTTAGAAATAGGAACAATAGTGGCAAAAATCTCAGTGCCGTCAGTTTTTCAGTAGGGATGTCTATACCACATTCTACCAGCACCCTGACCCAGAAGATGAAGAGAGTGTACCAAGACACACCTGCCTGCTGCAAAACCAAAGACTGGCACTGGTATATTCACAACAAAGAGGAAGCCAATGAGTCCAGTTCCTTGCTAGGACAACCATGAACAACCTGTCATGCTCATGTCAAACATTATATTAAAACTAACAACTTTTTGCCTTCAGTATTCTTTACTCATCGGTTGCCATAGAAACTTAAGATTTCTTACCTAAAATTACTGTTGGCCAGTTCACTGAGTTTCTTCTTGTGCTAGTGTTGTCCTTTCCTTTAAATTATTCTCCCTTTCCTGGTATTTAAAGACTGCAGTCATAGCTGCTGTAATCATGGGTTAAACAAGCTAGGCTCAGCACTTAGGCTTTGCTCCTGAAACAGGCTCTTCATTCCCCTGATCATCCTAGCAGTCTCCTTGGTATCTGCTGCAGTTTGACTTCACCTCTCTAGAATTAAGGTGATCAGAATACAGTATTGAAAATAAAAATTCAGGGAAGTAATGCCTCTTGTGAAAAATGAATGTCGGTACAGGAATTAGTTTACCAAATATACTAGAATTACAGCTCACAGTTATCTTGTGGTCAATAATTCTGTCATGGACAGTGATCTAAAACTAATTAACTCCCATCTTAATGGTTTAAATTCTATTAGCTATAGCTGAATGGTGCTTTACTTTGCATAAGTAAATTCATCCAATTATTCTGGTCCTCAAGGTCCTTTCAATCTGCCTTGATATCATAATTCCCCTATGTATTAATAACTGTGTCATCAGCATATTTAACATTGTATCATAGTTATTCATTAAACAAGATTAGTCCTCAAGACTTTAAGAAACTCCTCGAGTAAACTCGATATAACTGATAATCTATCAATGTACACACCGTGTATCCCCAAAATGAAACATATATTGCTCTTCCTCTTTAGCAAACTCCTTTCACCTCAAAGTTCTCTACTATTCCTTGTTATTAATCATTTTCCATATTAAAAATATTTTGAGGTTGTCCAGATAGATTAGATGACCTTTATTTTTCTGCCCAGAAAAGCAGTTACCTTATTAAGTGACATGACCTGATTTGCCATTTGCCCCTGGGTTAATCAATATTGATGTTTATTTAATTTCCTCCTATCTTCTTAACTTTCTTTATAATTCTTCCCTTGAAAGAAGTATCTACTGCATCTGACTGCATTTGCAACCATTCCAAATGTTTCCCTGACATTAAATGGAGGTATCTTTGCCATTCTTCAATCACACATTCTTCTTCTGTTCTTGAAACAGTCTTTGCTACTGTAACTAGAGTTAAACATGCCAGTACTCTTAAATCTCATGCACGGAGATTACCTTTTTCTCCTGGCTTTGTGAACACATTAGCTGAAGGAGCAGCGTGTCTTTGACAAAATGCTTCACAGAGAAAAAGAAACACATCTGTGAAGCTAGAAGAAGGAATAAAGAGAGAAAAAGAAAAAAATAGGCAGCACAGGCAAAGGGGCATATATTTTCAAAATAGGTTTAATGATAGAGAACTAATACATTGGAGAAATATAGAAAAATATTGTGGAATGCTGCAGAAGACAGAAAGAAGAAGCCATTCTAAAACTCACCTCCAGTAAACAACCCATATCCCAGAGTTATTATTTTTATGGTGCTATGTCTTAAGATATTGTCAGTCATAGAATGACATTCCAGAACTTCTGAGTATGAAAACACAGGCCTTGATCCCAAGAACCAAGACTTTACCTTTTCACTTCAGGACAGGATGACAAGCCTCATCTGGCCTCATGCCAGAAAAGACAGAAGAACAAATTCCACAAAGCCTTCAAAACACAGGAGGCATCAAGTCCCCCACTGACCAGCAGCTGCATGTTTTTCATGTGCACAATGTACCATGAGTATTAATATAAATCACAGTACGGTGACATTCTTTCATTAGCAGTAATGGCTATTAAAATCAGTAATTAACCAGATAGTGACATTCCTGCAAGAGGCCAAAAAAACCCAAAAGAAACGAAAAAAAAGAGAGAAGCCAAAGAATTTGATTATTATGTGAAAGCCTACATCAGTTGCTCACATGCAGATTCAACTGTTCTTGGGGCTGAATTCAGCTACGTGAACCCCAAAATTAAAAGTATTGGTCAAAGCAATCTCTGACTTGACCTACATTAGAAGAAGTCTTCTATATTTTATAAAAAACTAAAATATTGACAAAACATATAATATCTAATATTGCACACTAGGGACCAAACCACAGTCTCTGAGCTACTGGTCTGCAGGACCATAGTTTACAGCTGGGAAGAACAGGATCTGTTGTCGGGTAAAGTTCTGTAATGAAGACATCAAACCCTTCAAGTTCTCTTTGGCTCTCGGAAATATTGGCTTAAATAACTTGGAAATTATAGATAAAATAATAAAATATGCATGTACTGACATGAGTTATGCAAGCAGACAAATGAAATGACTTGTTAACTTATTAATACAGGTTATTCTCTTCAATTCACAATTTCCTGGTATTTAAATAACTGTTGATCTAAAAATGTCCTAGGGGGGTAAAGCAGGACTCTGTTTCATTTTTCACTGGTATTTTTACTAAGAGCTCACTTGGCACCACAGATAATGGAACTGGATTTACCAGGAGTCTATCAGCTGACTCTCTGTTAAGGACACAAAAGTGCATTTCTCATTGACAGAGCCTTGTCACAACATAACAAAGCTGTTTCTCTTTCAGGTGACAAAGGCTCAGAGAGATTAATGTCACTCTAATACTAAGCAAATGTTTAGTTCCCTTGGTTATGCCATTTCAAAGCAACTCAAATAATCAATGCCTCTTGTACAACCAGTCCACGCCATGGCAATCAGAAAAAGTCCATGTCTATTTAGTTAAGACCATTCTGAATCTCTGGGCTCATTGCAAGCAGGCATGTCCCTGCTTTCAAATTAAGATTTAGGGCCTGTAATTTCAGTCCCTTAGTCTATAAATAGTACATAGAGCTCAATATTGATCAAGCAGAAAAGACAGCTGCATATACAAATGGATTCTTACTGAAAAAAAAAAAATCCTGTGAAAATATGTCCACAATTACATTAAAAAGCGTAATTCAGTAAGTCATTTCCATGTTATAGCTTTCTTTCTGGACAAAGCTGGGAACTCTGAAACCACATAAGGACATATAACATACAGCATAAGAACATAAGATTAACAGCTCCTCACAGGAGGATACGAATTGGAAGCAACTCCTCATATTGTGCATTGGCAGAACATTAATGCTGATTATCGGGACGTGAAACTGTCCTTGGAAAGATTTAATATGCTTATTTCTTGTCACAGCGTATCATTTACGACACCCCCTCCCACAGCAAACCCAAGCTGCCGGGAGCGTGCGAGAGGAAAAGAAACGCGGGCACGCGCCGGCGGGTGCCGCGCAGTGACGCCACGCGGCGCCGGTGAAGTGACGTCACGAAGCAATGGCGGCGCCCCGAGCACACGCGGCAGGCGGCGGTCACAGCGGCGGCACCGTCCGCAGGGATCGCGGCCGCGCTCGCTCCGTCCCTCGCTGCCCGGGGCCTCCTCAGCTCGGTAAGCACAGGGGCCCGGAGCGCCCGCGTGCACCGGCGGAGGCCGGGCCGGGCCGGGCCCTGCCGCCGCTCCAGCGGGTCGTACCCGGGATGGGCAGCGGCGGGAGCGCTTCGGGCCCGCGGGGATTTATCCGGCGGTTCTCTCTTTATCCTCAGAGGTGTGCCAGGCAGTGGGTCTGGCCTGCTGTTGTGTTTGGTTATATACGGTTAAATAAAATAACCTGTAGCTATGTTGTAGGTATATGCAGTATATAACTACAATATATATAATAACATTCATATATGTTTAGCTATATAACCACATGCTAGTGTATATATATATATATGATCACAGAATCAACGGGGTTGGAAAAGACCTCCGACATCATCAAGTCCAACCCTTGATCCAACACTGCCGTGGTTACCAGACCATGGCACTCAGTGCCACATCCAGTCTCATCTTAAAAACCTCCAGGGACGGTGAATCCACCGCCTTCCTGGGCAGCCCATTCCAGTGTCTGATTACTCTCTCTGGAAAAAATTTCTTCCCAATATCCAAACTAAACCTCCCCTGGCAGAGCTTAAGATTGTGCCCTCTTTTCCTATCGCTGGTTTCCTGGGAGAAAAGACCAATGTCCACCTGGCTACAACCTCCTTTCAGGTAGTTGTAGAGAGTAATAAGATCTTCCCGAGCCTCCTCTTCTCCAGACTAAACAATCCCAGCTCCCTCAGCCTCTCCTCAGAGGACTTGTGCTTAAGTCCCTTCACCAGCCTTGTTGCTCTTCTCTGGACCTGCTCCAGCACCTCCATGTCTTTCCCGAACCGAGGGGCCCAGAACTGGACGCAGTACTCCAGGATAATATAGGCTATATAGGCTAATATATATATGTATAATAGTTATAAATATTAGCCTATATAGATATATATATAGGCTAATATATATAATAGTTACTTATATTAGCCTGTGTATATATATCTAAACAGGCATATATATGTTGTAGTGATGTATATTAGCCTGTAGTTATATTGACATTATTAATATATAAGTTACTAATGTCTAAGTTATATTATTAGTATTTTGAAGAAGAAAGTAAAATAATTATGCCATGGATTTCCTGTTTGTTTGAATATCATGAAGTTCCTTTTTTTTTTTTTTTCCCCCTACCTCTCTTTCAGGTAAAAAAATGAAGGCCAGAAAAGGAGGAAGATTTAAATCTTTCTTTAAACAGAAGCAAAAAGGCATTGAAGTAATAGGAAAATGGAAAACTGTGGAAATTGACCCCAATCTGTTTGCTGAGGAGGAGTTTCGAGATATAGTATGCTTGGAGGAACTTACAGAGTACAAGCTGGTAAGTTCTTCTGAAGTGGGGAAAGTAAAAGAGAAGAAGAGAAAGGCTGAGAGTGCATCAGAAGAAGAAGGCAATGAGGAGGTGGAAGAACCTGTCATCCCTCCCAAAAAGAAAAAGAAAAACAAAGATTTGAGAAGCCAAACAGATAAAGGCAATACTCCTAATGCAGCAGAAGTTGATGTGCTGGTTGATAAAGAGGAAAAGTGTAGTGAGATAATCAAAGAAGCAAATTTTGAAGACCATGGACATGTGACTGAGAACACATCAAGCAGTAAAGACATTCCAAAGAAAAAGAAAAAGAAGGCAGCTAAAAACAAGGCTTCTCAAGCGCAAGAAGTTCTTCCACCAATGAGTTCTTCTAAAAAAGGCAAAAACTGGACAACAGATGTTTTATCTACCTCAGCTGATCAAAAAGCTGATGTGTCTGCATGGAAAGACCTGTTTGTACCTGAACCAGTGTTGCAGGCCTTGAGCTATCTGGGGTTTAGTGCTCCAACTCCTATTCAAGCCTTAGCCTTGCCTTCTGCCATCCGGGATAATATGGATGTTCTTGGTGCTGCAGAAACAGGTACAAAGCTGTTAAACTGCTTGTGTGTGCTGCAAGCATCCCATCTCTTCTTTAAAGCAGCTCATGGTTACAAGTTTTTATATGTAGAAGCAGCAGCATTTATATGTAAGAAAAGAGCTGTCTTCTGCAAATCCAACATATTAGTAAATTTTTAAACATATTAGTAAAGTTTTAAAACTTTGTAATGTACAAACATGGGGATGTTCCATCTTTTCGAAGTACAGCCTGCAGAGCTTTGAAATCTCGATGGTTTTTATGCTTTTGACACAAGTCTTTTTTCTCTCAAATTGTTTTCTGCTTTGGGAGCAGTAGGGTGATGCTCTGCAAAAGGCAGATTTAATGAAACAGGCAGGGGCATTTTTCCAGCAGCCAAACTTGTGCCCCTGGCAAGGCAAAGCAGAGAACTGGGTTCCTCTGGAGATGATTCAGTGCCAGCATGGAGCAGTAAATAAACACTGGGTACAATGTTAAGCATGAATATGGCCCAGGCCATATTTGTTTTAGCTCCTTTTTTACCTATTGCTGTGAAGTCTGAGCATTATGTTCCTTCAGACTTTTTTTTTTCTGCTTATGCCTTTGAAGTTTTGTCTTCTTTAGCACTGCATCGTTTTTCCCCCTTAAAACATAAAGATAGGAAGCACGATTGGAAGCTGCCTTGGTTTAAAGGCTTCGTTTGCACTCTTTTCATCTGTTCCAGTTGCCTTATCTCACTGCTTGTCTGTAAAGTCATTTACTGCTCTTGAGCAAGAAGGTATACTAACTAATAAGATATGCAGTCATTTGCATTTTTATTTTAATTAGAGGCTAGGTTGGTGCTGTTAGCTTTAATAAGATTAGAAATCCCTGCAGGGAGTGTTTTTGAAAATGGAACTGAAAATTTAAGTGGTGTTCATATGCTGGAAAAAAGTACCATTTTGCAGTGCTGGTAAGCAAATCCCTCTCTAGCTGCAGAACGGAAAGCATGGTTGGTGGCAGGCTGTGTTGTTGCTTTATAATTTTGCATAACCCTGAGGTAGGAGGACTGTGTTTTGCTCATTTATTCTTTCATGAGAGAAATCCAGGTTCTCTCCAGAGAGCCCAGTGGATCACTGGTGTTCCTGTAGCAACTTGAGAGATATGGACAACTATTTGTTAGGAGGTACTGCGGCTGGGAGAGGTTAAAACTCTCCAGTTGTTTTTCTACATCCTACAGCATCACTTACCATTGAGCCTGAGAGAGGAATTTGATAAGTTAAAGAACTATTAATCTTCCTCTACATATGAGGAGACTTTGCAGCAGCGTTGATCAGGAGAATGACACTGGGCTTAGCTGCTTATTAACTACTATTAAGATTCTCTCCTAAATAGGAAAAATTTTGTGTTGCTGAATTTGACAAACCTTTATGGCTTGTGACATAAATGTGATGTGGACATGAATTAAGATTTCCAGAGGACTGCTTCCCAGCAGTGACCTATTACAGGAATGGTGTAACAGTGTCTTGTACTCTGGATGCTGCATTCTTGATCAATGAACTGATACATCTGAGAACCTTAACTGGAGTGGATGCGCTAGCAGGCTCTTCCTAATATCTTTAATACTGACAGATCGTTCAGAAGGGAATATGTGGCAGGGATGTAACTGGCAGTTTGGTACCAAGAACCCCTGAAATTAAAGTTGGGAGCATTTTTGGCAACCCCCTTCTCTCCAAAGTGGATTATCTGTTTTAAATCAGATTTATGTGTTCTGATTATAAAAATGATGCTAGATCAGGAAATTAGACAGTGGAGTATTTCAAAGTACGATTTCTTAGAAAGATGTAAATACAGGACTGTAAATTGAAGATAGAAGCAAATCCTTCAAGTACATTCCAGCTCGTCCTTGGCCTCATTTGCTATTCCTTTATTTGGAGAATGTTGATCAGAACTTTCAATTAGGACATGGTATTCTCCTTACGGGCATTCAGTTCTTTAAAAATATCTTGACTGCAACTGCAGCTTTTAAAAAACACTTTCAGAACAACTAAGTCTGCCTGCCCTGCTAGAGATTGGAAAAATACCTGTTCCCTGGGAATTGCGATACTGTTGACCTGGAGGAGATGTATAAAGGGAACAGGAGAAAAGATGTTATTTCTGCAAGTTTCTGGTGTTCTAAAGATTGTGAATTTGCATCTGTTACAGTGATATGTTTTAAGAACAGTGTGCAATTGGCTGTTGCTTTTCTTATCTTTTCAAATAAATGACTTGTCGGTCTGTGCTATTATTCTTGTTTGGTTTTTTTAGGAAGCGGCAAAACGCTTGCATTTGCAATTCCAATGATTCACTCTGTGCTGCAGTGGCAAAAATCAAATAGCTCAACAACCAGAAATGACACTGTTTCTAAAGAGTCCCATCAGCATCATGATGAAACAAGATGGGAAAATGAGGATGAAGCAGAAAAAGTAACTCATCAGCAGGTTGAAGATAGCGGAGATGAAGATGATGCACGTTTCACAACAGGCTGTGTGAAAGTTCTGGAAAATATTGAATTTGATTCGGGTGACAAGACACAAACTGTTGGCTCCCATAAAAGGAAACCCCTTTTAGGACTGGTCCTCACTCCTACAAGAGAATTAGCTGTACAAGTAAAGCACCACATTGATGCAGTGGCGAAGTTTACAGGTAAGTAGATCCTGCAGGCCATGTGCCGGATTATGCTGTGTTTGGATCTTGGAGTTGGTTTTGAGCTAACATGCCATACTTTCTTCCATAAAATCATAAAGTTGCTGTGGCTTTTGAAGTATTAGGGTTTGTGGTCCCTGATGTGTGAGAAACACATGAAGACTCTTCAGTGAGATGCACGTGGAAGTAAACAGTTAATGTGAGATATTTTGCTTTAAAATGTACCTTCCTTCAAATAGCTATTGACTTGTACTCTCACAACACAGAATGAATACTAGATATCCCGCCACAGCTAACTTTGTCCTAGTTGTGGATAATGTAGGCTACATATAAAAAATAATTTCATTATAGATAAAATTTTTAATGTATATAATAATTTCAATTCTTGACAGGTATATCAATCTTTTGTATAGTGTAGATACTTAAGTGTGTGTGTGTGTGTGTGTGTGTGTGTGTGTGTGTATGTGTGTGTGTATATATAATTTTGATCTATCAAAAAAAGTAAAGTAAGGCCATAAATTTTTAGGGTAGATGACGTTGCTGGATTGTCTGACTTGCCTCCTGCGGCAGTCAAACCACAGAGTATTACTGAGTAACATGCCTGATAAAAGCAATTTCATCCTGTTCCTTTCTCTTCCAAACCTGAAGTCAGTACATCTATTAAGTGGATGAGTGAGGACATGAAACTGTTTAGGAGGGAGAGAATTGTGAAAGAACTCACTACTTCTCCAACACCAGTAATTGTTTATTTATTGAAGAAGAAACGTAATGCATTGCACTACTACTAAGCACATCTTCCTTTGGTGTCTGTACATCCTGCTGTGTTCATCAGTCTGCAGCTGATTACAAGGCTTATTTTAACTGCTAGCCTGAAACGATCTGTTTGTGTCATACAGTTCTGATAGGAGCAGAGCTATTTATGTGTAAAAAAATCTGCTGCCGAAGTGATACATAGTTGCAACAGCAGGAGAGAAAATGCTTTAATGTGGGCTTGCTTTATTGCCTCAAACACACTTTGAAAAAAAGTCCCTACCTGAAAGCATGGTGTTCCACAAGTAGTAGGGAAGAGAGATCAGGGGTAGCTTGGATACTGGAAGGGTCTTGCACAGTAGCATTGAGTTCATTATGGGCCAATGTATTCTTTGAAGAAGGAGGATGAAATAAACCATGTGTAATCTCCTTCCAAAACTAAACTCCTTTCGCTACCTCAGCAAAGTTCTTAAAGCTAACTCAAGGTCTGTACTACTATGCAAGAATCATTAATTGGGCAGGAGCGTTCTTGGTAGGATTATTCCATAGCAAATGAGCAGTTATTTAGGAAGACAAGCATTTCTCAGTCTTATTCTATGAAGTGTCCTCCTGGTTATTCATACCAGGAATATGCTTGTTCATGCAGATGTAATTGACAAAACATGAGACTCTGAAGTATGGGTACACAAAACTAACAGCTATGGATGTGTTTCTTCATGCTATTAAAAGATAGGTGCACTAAGAGAAAGACTACTTTATTTTTGACATCTCACTATAATGAGGATTTTTTTGGTAAAACTGAGCGTGTTGCTGTATGTTCAATATTACATAAAACCCCCGAAGTTTCCTGACCAAAATGCTAACTGAAAGTTGCAGTATAAACTCTTTAAAACCATTGAGTAGATCTACATAAAAACATTGACTGATAAATTAGTTAAATAAAACCTATTATATGTTCTAGGCATTAAGACTGCAATTCTGGTTGGAGGCATGGCTGCACAGAAGCAAGAACGTGTACTGAATCGAAAGCCAGAAATTGTAATTGCAACCCCAGGCCGTCTGTGGGAGTTAGTTAAAGAGAGACACCCACATCTTTCAAATCTTCGTCAGCTCAGGTAAATGTGCCTTTTAGAATAACTGCTGGATACTGAACTAGTTATCCTTGCACCCTGATTATGTTTACTAACTGATTAAATAATTTAAACTACGTAAGATCACTTATTTTTTTGTCTCATAGTGTTGTATTGAAATGCACAGTGGTTATTTCGATGGAGGGAAATGTCAATTAAAGACAGTAGTAAAAAGCTGTTTTTTCAAAAAGAAGTGCAGAAGGCTACTGTAGCTGCCCCAGCATACCTGCTGTTCCTTTTGGGTTTATATGCAGAGCATCCCTTACGTGTTTAGCAGGAAAAGTTCTTTTTAAGCATATCAGGTTTGTATTTATCTGTACAAGTGTATTTTTACTGTGTTTTCCACTTGACAGGTGCCTTGTGATTGATGAAGCAGACCGAATGGTTGAGAAAGGTCACTTCTTAGAGCTGTCTCAGTTGCTGGAAGTCTTAAATGATTCACAGTATAACCCTCATCGACAGACTTTTGTTTTTTCTGCCACGTTGACTTTAGTGCATCAGACTCCTACAAGAGTTTTACAAAAAAAGAATGCTAAAAAGATGGACAAGAAGACCAAACTAGAATTGTTAATGGAAAAAATAGGAATAAAGAGCAAACCCAAAGTAATAGACTTAACGAGGAAGGAGGCTACTGTTGAGACTCTGACAGAAACCAAAATCCACTGTAATACAAATGAGAAGGACTATTATCTCTATTACTTTCTTCTCCAGTATCCAGGAAGAACCATGGTCTTTGCAAACAGCATAGACTGTGTAAAACGCCTCAGTTCTCTCCTCACAATCTTAAATTGTGATCCGCTTCCTTTGCACGCCAACATGCACCAAAAGCAAAGGCTGAAAAACCTGGAGAGATTTGCTGAGCGAGAGAGGTAGGTTGATTTTCAACTTCCTAGTAGAGAAAAAAATCATGTAAAAGGTAGTGGAAAGGGGAAATAGCTGTTAGAGTAGGAGCAAGCTGAGGAGGTTAGCTGGGGATTTGAGTCCCATGACTTTATGAGCCCAAGTTATTAACAATGAAGGATGAGGTTTCACAGGATAGTTGAGGTGATGAACTGGAGCAAGTTCAATGGAAGGCCACCAAGATGTTCAAGAAGCACTGGCTCTGCAAGAGGAGAGGCTGAAGGCACAGCATTTACATCACCTGTGAAAAGTACTTTGTGGGGGCCTAATGGCAGCTTAAGGTTGTCAAGAAGATGGAGCCAGGCTCTTCAGAGTGGTGCATGGTAGGAGGATGTAGGGTAAAGGGTGTAAGTTGAAACAAGAGGTTCAGGCTATATATGGAAAAGGGCTTTTTATCTGTGCAGGCACTTGAGCAGTGGAACAGGCTGCTTGTTTTTGGAGTTTTTTGAGGCTCGGATAAAACACTGAGCAACCTGATCCAGCCTTACAGCTGGTCCTGCTTTGAGGAGGAGGTTGGAGTAGAGATCTCCTGAGGTCTTCTGGAGTCTGAATTATCCTGTGGTCTGGCAGCTCACTGTTGCTGACAGAGCTGTCACTTGCCCTGTTTTCAGACATAGGCTTTTATGACCATCCTGCACACCTCTCTGCCTGTGTCCTGGTTCTGCAGCTCATTTGAGCCTCTGTAAGTCATTGAATTTCACTAAGCCATTAGAAAACTAACCATTTTTGCTTGTTACAGTTTTGCAGGTTTAGTTAGACGAGTTAGCTTCCAGGGGGTCAAGGTATCCTGGAGCAATGTAAGAGAAGGGGCAGTTGTACCTTTCAGCAGCAGTGGGCAGCCAGGGTTTACCCAGGCAGACCTGTCCTGCCAGTGTAAGAAACATTGTTTCCTGCTGACTTCGGGTGGTCTCGGTACTTCCATAATCCAGAAGCCTCCCGGTTTAGTCGTGCTGTGAACTGCTGCTTGCTGTCTGGGAAATTTGTACCTTGTTAATAGATTCAGGCAGGGAGAACCCAGGTTGAATTGCTGTGATGGATCTGCAGTATCCCTTGGCAAATGAAGTATTGATAGCATTGGCATAGGTCAGACGGGTCGTTTTCGGAGACTGCAGATTTTCAAGGCAAGAAAGAAATCTATGAGACCGTCTCTCACAATGTTCTGCAGATTGCAAGCCACAGAATTTTCACTTGTTATTTTTCCTTTTAACCTTGTAGCAATAGAATATGCAGTCAGATGCCATAAAATCTTAATAAATTTCCATTACCTAAAAGTAACTCGTTTCAGTTGCTGGGAGATGTTTTTAAAACAAATTGTTCTAAGTCCTAAGGAGAATTTTGTCTCTGTACTAGACTATTTATATAAAAGAACAACATCTTTGAGTAGTTCATCATATCTGCGGATGAGGAGAAATACTAATTGTCAGAACAGAATCCCCTTCTTATATTCCTAGCTTTTAATTTACTGAGAGAGCTTATTTGAGTGCAAGTCGGTAGAAGATATTTTAGCCCCCAAAAGCTGTTATTTAAATATATAATGTTAATAATGTAATTTTTCTCAACTAGTAAAACTTTTAATAACATGTCTGTACTACCAAAGGATCGGCTGCGTTGTTAATGGTATAGTCATATCAACTAAAGATATTTTTAAACCCAACCTGGGCAGTGCACTGAAAAGTGCATCACAGGGGAACATACTCCCCTTCTTTAGACAGCAAGTTGTTCTAGTGTTCTTGTGAACTGAGAGAGAAGAAAAGCATAGGAAAACAGGATCCAGCAAGGTAGTGAATTTCTGTATTGGAAACAGAATAGACCTGCTGAGGGTAACATTTACACTTTTTAGTTTTATTTTAAGAATTGTTGTTTCAAGACTGCCTCTGATGTAATAGTGGGTATCATTTCTGTAAGGGCAAGCAGAATGTGTAGTTCCAGCAGTTGATATAGTATAAATCTGTTTCTTAAACTGCTGTGGTAGGATTCTATATTGCTGTATTTTATGTTCCTCGACAGATGATTTACTTTTCAATTTTATGTTCATTAAATTTTGTCACTTTCTCAGCTGTGTCCTCCTGACAACAGATGTTGCAGCTCGTGGTCTTGATATTCCCAATGTGCAGCATGTCATCCACTACCAGGTTAAGTATTTTTAATGGTTTTACTTTTACTGTTTCAGTTTTGAAATAAGCTTTTCCTGATCCAAATCCTGAACGCTATAAAGCTGTAATTCTTGATCCCATGTATAGTACAGTCCCAAGTATAGATATTTAATCATTTAACTGTCTTAGTGCTTTGTCTTATTGTTGCAGTGACTGACTGCAGTGGGTAACACTTCATCAATATGCGATTATATATTAGAAATGACATAACAGATATTATCCTCCTTGCTTTTTGCTTCACTTCGATATCCAGAGGTGTCAAATGACTCAGCCATATAACTCATCTCTGAGGACACATAAAATGTTTTCCTGCTTTTCAAGTGAAATGACCGAGGGTCAGAAGTGAGGAGAGACTCACAAAAGATTATGCGAGAAAGAATGCTGGATCAGGGAACAAAAAGTGTGTCAAGACATCATCTTTTACATTACTTTCTCTGTTACCTGCAATGTACCATGTGTGCATAAAACACAATGTTCTTTGGCAACCTCTTGTCCAAAGCATGACAGGCTGCTGCTAGCTTTCCCTGGCAGCTTCATGGCTTCTCTGAACACTTGCAGGTCCCTCGTACGTCTGAGCTGTACGTGCACAGAAGCGGTCGAACAGCCCGAGCTGCCAACGAAGGCCTCAGCCTATTGCTGATTGGCCCTGATGACTTGATCAATTTTCGGAAAATTTATAAAACATTGGGGAAGACTGAGGAGCTGCCGTTTTTCCCAGTTGATACCAAGTGCATGACTTCTATCAAGGTAAAGAAACAACAGTCTTTTTTGCAGCCTGAGTAGTTGCTTGCTTGCTTGTATTACTTACATTACTGATACGACATTGCTTATCGTAGTTCTTTCCAGGTTTCAGGTGAAATTTACTTTTGAGGTCCTGGATTTGAAAATGAAATTAATCACCCTTTATGTTTTTTCAGCAATATTTATGATTTCTCCTTAAAAACTGGCCCAAGAAAAGCGTTCAAGCATAAACATCACCTATATTTTTCTTGTATGGTGTTATGTAGAGCTTCTCCTGACTAGATTTCCAGAACAGTATAGGGAAGCGAGTGTGTTTTTTGGATGGGGAGCTGGAATGGCTTTGTTAAGTACATTGTTTAAAACCTCTTGTGTTAGGAACAGACTGGAGAACAGTAGCAAGTCCAGGGGTGTTCAGCAGTCTTCATCTGCCTCTTCCCAGCTGAAGTAGTGAGTTGTTTGCTTTTCTCAGAGTTCCTATACTGTGAGGCCACAGCTGCCACTGAACCCTGTCAAACTGGGTATGTTCTCTTTTCTGGGTTATTGGCCATTTTAAGGAGAATTCAGTCATTCACTAACTCACAAGATAGACAATGGTTAGGGTTTACAAAACAATGTGTTTTAGAAAGCATCTAGTCACTGCAGATTTTCTACTTCTTGAATAACAGACCATTTCATGTCTCAGCATTCTCTCAACAGTGTGAGGGATATCAGCGACGTACGAATGGGACATACTTAAATACTGGCTTTGAAAGGAATTCAGGGTTGGAATGTCTGAATGTTGCACAGTCACTGAGAACAAGGGAGAACGCAAGCAGTCAGATAATGCAACAGCTATATCTTCCTTACAGTACTCTGATTCAGGCTTATCCAGTTGGCTTGGACAGAGCTCAGAGTTTACCCCAGTGGCAATAGCAGCATCCTCACCTTGGGAATAACATCAGCAAGTTTCAAAGCCCAGGCTTGCTGCAGATAGGGTATTTAGCATGAATCTTTCAGGAGATGCAGCTTTCTGAAAGAGAAAGAAAATCAATAAATGCTTCCATAGGCTCATTTTTATCCTCTTGGTAGTAATGAAGAGAATTTGATTTCCTCCTCCCCATCTCCTCTACTGCCCCCTTACACCCACTAAATGTTTCTGGCTACTGAAAAAATCTGTCGTTTTTTAAAAGTGTTTCTTCAGAGGTTCCTTCTGTGTTTCTTGATGAGTATTCTTGGCTCTTATCATGCTCTGTCAATTAATGAGCAAATAAATATTGTTTCCACACTTTAATTTTCCTGCTACCATCTCACGATCTTCTCTCCTGTCTGTAATAGTGCTCCTCTTCCCAGCAGAGGTGTCTTTGTAATTGTAGTTGCAGGAGTTCAGCCTCAGAGGCTCTTCGAACAGTCAGGTCTCATTTACACTTAGACCTGGGCCTAATCACAAAGTCATTGTAGTTGAGACTATTAGTGCTGCTGGTTCTGTATGTCTGTCCCTTTGGCACACTCCTTCCCTGTTTCTGTATGCCTTCATCCAAGTTCAGAAAAGGTCTGAAGGGTTTCACGCTTGGGAGGAATAGAATTGTTGAACCAGGATAGAGGATAGACCTAAAGAGGACTTGAATTTTGCAAAGATGGAAAAACTATTTAAAATGTCTTGTAATGATCTTAGAACTTACTGATTCAGTAGTTCATGGCACGTTTAATTTCTTCTCTCTCTGCGTCTTAATTATTGTAGCAGTTCTGGCTGGTGCTGTTACCATGTAGCACCAGACTATTCAGTTTCCTGCACAGGGTTTGTTTCATACAACTACAGGCACATTCCAAACAGCAGAACTTGCTGCTGGTTGATTATTTACTGTTAGTGTAGATTTTATTTCCACAGTGAATTAATTATTTTTTTGGCCCATCTGGAAGGCTGCAGGTCAGGTTAGATTTGCTGGACATCTTTGTTCCACCTGTGTGCAGCCGGGAAGGACAAGACATTCTGTCCTGTGCCTAAACAAGAACCAGGCGCGTTCCTTGAGACATGAGCTGTTCCATCCATATGGCCTGCAGGATTTAGTGAAGGTAGTGGCTGCCCCTTACTGCTGAGTCTAGTAACTCTGAGATCTTGTACTATGTAAATATGTAAGGAAATGATTGGTATTTGAATCATGATTTATTCCTGATGTCTCTCAGGTGTTTGTAATGATTTGTTTATAGAATGTTGAGTTAACATTCAGGTATGTTTAGTAGTTGAGATGTTTTAGAAGCCAGATTCTATCATGGATCTGAAGAAGTATAACACTAGCAAATTATGACGTCTTTGTTATGTAGGGCATCTCCTGGAACATGGGTAGGGAACAAAAGTGTCTCCGTACCCCAGATGCATTGCAATGCATACTCTCAAACACTGATTCTGCTAAAGTACCTCACGTTTAAACCTGATCATAATGTCTGAATGTATTTTTTTTTGCAGGAGCGGATGAATTTGGCAAGGCAGATTGAGAAGGCAGAATTTTTCAACAGTCGGGCAAAGCAACACAACTCCTGGCTCCAGCAAGCTGCAGAGGCTCTTGAGATGGATCTTGATGATGACATGTTGATGGGCAAGTAGAAGTGTTTGTCCATGGGTGTGCTCCGTTGTTCCCACAGTGCTGGTGACTGGAAGAAGCCTCACCATGGCAGACAAATTTCAACTTGTGCAGAGCAGAATGGGAAGGAAAGAAGTGTCATTAGTACATGGTGTTACTGGTATTTTCAGGATGATTGTGCAGCAGATAGTGCTGGAGCTGAGGGAGTGAGATGTGACAGTTCTGGCAGGTCACAGACAAGTCTTCATAACATAGGACAAGAACTGTTTAGCTTCTGGCAAGCATTTCACAGTAATCTAAACAGCCCAGTATGTCCTGATTGAGTCTTGTCCTCCCTGTGTCAAAGAAAAAGCTGTTACTTCACTTCTGCTTGTCTCTCCCTGTAGTCAGGAGCCTGACTGCTCTGTGTGGGAACAGCTAGGAAGTGCTAGGGAACACCAAATATTATGTGAGCCTCATGTACGTTGTGTGGGCAAAATGGCCAATACATACATTCAAGTTGCTGAGGTTTTTGGTGGAGTGTTATAAGCAAATAATTTTTTATATTTTATAAATTAAGCGTTTTGCAGGCTGTGCCTGAGTGTGAAGGGCTGTGCAATTGCAATGCCTATTAGTTCAATGCCATGAAGTTTTGCAATGCTTAGATGCACAGTAAGATGCCACATATGTGTTCATATTTTAGAAGCTGAAGGTATGATTTCCTACCAGTTCTGAAGGCAGGCTGAATAGAGGTGCTGCAGAGGTTGCTTCAGATGAATCTGTCTCTAACCTGTTAGCTGCTAAATATCCAGATGCCTTAATTTTGAAATATGTTTAGATTTCTTTCTTTCTTCCTTTAATTCATGGCTGGACTAGCTGGTTCTCAACCACTAGCAAACGCTAATCATCTCTGTCTAAATTGTTCAGGAGTGCTTTCAGATAATTAGCATTCTGCTGTCTTGTTTTGACATAATCTGAGTATGCTGTGCTTTGTAATGAGTTTCAAAACAGCACATCCAATCCAAGTAAGTTGTGGCTCTCAAGTGAAACATTTTGTAATTGCCATCCAGAAACTTGCCAGCTTCATGCTGTACTCAGTCTCTAGTTCTTCTGTAGCTTGTTGGAGACCAATTAAAATCTCAGTCATTCCTCCCATAAATGAAGTGCCTCTTACAGAATTACAAAGGCTTTTTAGTAATGCCCTTTCAAGTTTACCTTACAGTAACTTTGATTTCATTTTTCTCTCCAGTTCAGGCCTCTGACCGTATTAACTATCTCAAATCTTTTCTATGCCCTTCTTTATCCTGTGTTATTAAATCTGAGCACCTCATTTTTTGTGCATGTATAAAGAGGAAAGGACTTCCTGGTTTACAGGTGCTGAAATGAGGCATGCATAAAGTAACAAAATACACAGAAGAAGCTTGTGCCTGAGCTAGAAGCCCTGGGTGAATGAATACCTTATCCTCGGGGACCCTCTTCCTTTTGTTCCTCAGTCTGTTCAGGATTGAGAGCCAACTGAATGATTTAGCAGAATGATACCTGGGCTTTGGTTACTTAGTATTTGGGATTCTTCTTAATCTCGTTATCCTGTGGACAGCCTGGGTGATCTGAAAGTGACACAGATGACTGGAAGACTGTATGGGAGTTGAGTGACCTTGTTAGAGAGAGAAAGCTGACATTAGCATCTGCCCTTGTCCATACAAAGGTCTCCAATGCAAGTTGTTCTCTTGTTGTAACATTCTGTATCTTTGATTTCTGCCCCAAGGAAGAAAAGCTAATGAGCAAGAAGAAAGCCAGAAGCAAAAGATGTTGAAGGGGATGAAAAAACAACTGAAACATCTGTTGTCCCAGCCACTCTTTAAAGTCCTTATGAAAACCAAGTACCCAACACAGTCTGGAAAACTACTCCTGCCTCAGACATCAGTGGGCATTTCAGCTCTGTGTACCGTGTCCAAAAAGCAAGCCAAGAAGAAGAAATCAATAAAATTAGATAACTGAGCAAGATCACTCAGTATGACAGAAGCAAGGACTATCTTGATCAAGGCTGTCAGTACTTATGGAGGCTAGAAAACAAATAGGATAAGGATGTTGCCTGTGTATTGGTTGTGCAGGCAAAACCAAAATATTGATTTAAAGGGCTCAGTTAACACCGGGTTACTTACTGTTGAATCTTGTCATGGATCTTGTTTTTCTATGTTCTTATTTTTTCTTAACTCTCTATATTAATAGAAGTTAATTATTTTTCACATAGTTCTGATAATTACTCCATTTTGTGAGATGGGTAAAAGTTAGTGGGTAGAATTCACTGTGGGCATAGTCTAATGATAAAACTTGATTTGAATTTTAATATCTTTAAAGGACAGGGGAAGGTCATCTGTATATAGTGCAAGTACAATCTGAGCTGGTGGTGATGGGAGGTTTGACTTTTCCTGCAGTCAGCTCAGTGAGAAAGGCAGCAAATAGAGGTAGAGTTACCAGCAAGTCTACAATTCTGGTTATGGAAATGTCTCCCAGTTTTCTTTCTCCTCTGATAATATTTCTCTGTTCTGTTCTCCACTGGGTTTAATTCTCTTAGTTCTGTGTTAATATACGTTGGAATGTGCAAAAAAAGTGAAGGTGGCAACAGGCCAGGACAGACTTTGGGAGATGTGTAGATTTTTAAGGAATAAGCGTTGCTACTCAGTGTTTTCTTAATTAATATTTGGAGTTAAACCTGTATTTGAAAACATGTTAGAACCACGATCTTTGCTTTAATGGAAAAGATGATCTTGTGAAATGTCACTTTTGAAGATTGCTTCCTGATAATTATGCTTTTAAATCATTTTAACCTGACCCAGGCAAATATTTTTTAAAACTATTTTTAAAAATGTCAGAAGAATATATTGTGAAATTTTGTTAAATTATATCAGCTATAAAACCCTAAGTCTGTGTCTGTTTTCAGTCTCTTGAGATTTCTAAATCCCTCACAGCTGATGCTGTCTGCACTTAGCAGGGAAGGAAAGGGGAAAAGCATCCAAAAGGCAAGACAGTGGAATTTGTATTGGTGGGAGGACAGGTAACCTTCACCTGCCAGCTCTGGATAAGGCTGAGTTTTTGTGTCTTATACAGCATGGAACCAATGTTACTGTCATGAGAGGAAGCACCAATTTACTCAACTACTTAGAGAAATTTGTCTGTGGAGTTGAATGCCCCCTCCAACCACTTGCTGGTTATGTGAGAATAACAAAGTCTTCACTATTTCATCCATGTAAATAATTGTAGGCCCCCTATCCCCATCTTTGGAGGGCTTTTCTCTTTCTCCCATGCATTACTGAAGAAGAGCCGTGACAATTTAATCATAAGCATACAGAGCTTATCAATTATGTGTGAGACTTGCAATGCACTATTTGTCTCATGCCCTTGGGAGCAAAGAGGGAAGTTTTGAGGGAGAGGAGATGGTAAGGTTCTGCTTCCTCACTCAAGTGAAGAGGCACATCTTTGGCGTTACTGTGACATCTGAAAAATAAAAACAATTTAAAGACAGTTCCTTGTAAGGAAAGTTTAAAAAAGGAACTGAAAAGACAAGCATGCCCTCATTTCTGTGCCATTTTAATCCGATTTTCACATTATGAAAAGATATTTTCACTTTTTTTGAAGACCAGGTGAACCTTTTCTGTGTCTTGTGATGCATTTCTGTTTACAATTCATCAACAAAATCGAGTCTGGATCCTGACAATACAGCTTGGCATCTCCTCCCTGTCTGGTAATCTGCATGAAGTAGCAGTTGGGCAGCTCTTGGTTCCATGAGATCGTGAGGTGAACTGAACTTGGGGACAGTGAGAGTAGTGTTATTTCCTCTCCATTATTGCCATGAAGTTTTTCAGCTGCTTCTGTTTCCCTGTGTTTAACAATCTAGTTCTCACACTCAACAGTCTTTCGCAAGACAGAGCATGACACTTGTGCCCTCCTTGCTGCCTTCATGGATCATGAATGTTGGAAAAGACCTCCAAGATCATCAAGTCCAATCTTTGACCTAATGCCACCGTGCCCACTAAACCATATCGCAAAGTGCCACATCCACTCGTTTTTTGAACACTCCAGGGATGGTGAATCCACCACATCCCTGGGGAGCCTGTTAAAGTGCTTGATGGTTCGTGTTTGCTTGTGGGACATACTCTTGTGCCAGTTTTCTTCTGCAGCCTCTGATGTGCTCTGTGTGAATTCGTGATGCTTAAATCTACTGATGCTGCCCCCCCACAGGAGCTCAAGCAGAGCTTGGAACCTAAAAATATCTCGTCTTAAAAAGAATACTTCTCTGGTACTTTGAAAACTTTCTTGCAACTGCCTGTTTTGCTTTGTCATTATCTTACCAGAACACTCTGAGTCTTCTACCTAGATGAAAAACCTCATATTTGCTTTAGCTAATTTAAAGAAATTAAACAATAAATTGGAAAATGTTGCCACTTAGCTGTCCCACACCCATGTGAATTAGGTTATTGCTGGAAGAGAGGAAGGCAGAATGTTTTCTCCAGCTCTGATTTGCATGTGTACCACTGGTGCAACTTAGACATGAAGAATTTTACATCAAGTCCATATGGGCAGTTTAATCTTAGTATTTAATGAAACATGTAGTATCAAATGGTTTCTGTAATGCTCTGCTGGCATAGCAGTTACGCTGAGGCCTCAAACAAGTAATCTTGTGTTTTGTGGCAGCTTATGTCTGCTAAAACACCCATTAATTAAAGGACTTACTAAGTCTATTTAAGCTGTCACAGCAACTTCCAAGCAGATTAATAAAAGCATGAGCTCAGCAGAGTAGTGGTAGGGTACAAGCTGATACAGAGCAAGAGCAACCAGTACTGCCTAACAGAAAACTGAAACCCTAATAACTTTTGAACATTTATTTTTATTTTCTGAATGCATGGGGCTGGTTGACCTCATCCCTGCCACAGTTCCTGGTCTGTCATACTTCTATCAAGAGAAGGAAGAGTCCCTGCAGTTCAAGGCATCTGCTGAGGAGATAGTTTGGACGGGATCTCACATATTAGACAGGAGAGTTTCCTGACATCCCCCATGCCTTTTCTTTCCTTCCCTGTATGTTAATAAAACAGCAAGTTAGCAAAGCAGAAGCTGGAGTGTTGCCTTGCCATATGCCAGCAGCCCAGGCACACGCTGGCCATGTGGCACAGGGGAGGTAATTCGCACCTTCCTGAGAAAGGGTTGGGTACTGCATGCTTAAAGCAATCAGTCTCTGTATCCAGGTTCCTAAGGGAGAGAGAAGACAGGAGATGGACACTTTTTGACTATCTCACTTCATACTGCCTTACACAAGGAGAAAAATCTGGTAAGAAGCCCTGTGCTTTCTTGGGTGTTAAAACACACACTACTTGTCCTGTGCCTGAGCTATTCCAGATTTTTTGATGAAAAGGCTTGGTGAGGGAAGGACCTCAGAAGATCATCATTTGAGTGACTAGTAACAGACTGGTAATGTGGCAAGCAACAATATGTTTGTAATACCCAATAGTCTTTGCAGAAAAGTATGTTGATGTCAGTGGTCATGGGATCGGGGAGTAGGAGGGTTCTGTAACCCTCTATAGATCCTTTACATGCCCCCTTCTAATACTTGGGCAGATGTTGCCTGATTCTGGCATGTGAGAGATTTTCTATTTCACCTTCTTTTTGTGAAAGATATTTCAAGGCTTCAGTCTTCACAAATCAATCATAAGCTCCTCCTAGGGTTGGCCTCACGGAGTGAGTAAGAAAGAGAAAAATAGCCTGTCACTCCTGCAGCAAGTTCATTGGCCTGGGAAAGCAAGTGAACAGAGCTGCTATGCTTGCTTGCCTTGGAGCTCAGCAGCTCTTGCTGTGAAACTGGAAGAAAGTGTAGCCAGTTTCCAGAGCAACCAACTTTAGATGGTACAAATTGCCAACTTTCTCTAGGTGAGAGCTGCAGTTAGAAAACATGGACCCAAAACCTGAGTTGGAAAAGCAGAACAGGCACTGCAAATTACTCTTGGGCTTTGATACCACTGGGCTAATTAATTCTTTTAATATTGATATATCAGTCTAATCAGTAATGTTGATGCTTTTTTAGGAGTAAAGTTTATTTTCCTTTCCTCATGACAATACCTTGAGCAGTATAAGCTGACAAGTTTTTATGGATTTACACACATGGGCCACCATAACAGGGTACGACTCTAGGATCCCCTGATTAACATAATGTCCAAGTGATGGTTTCCAATTCCTCTTTTGTTAGTTCTCAGGTGACAGCTTGAGTTTGGTGCCTACCCCAGATCATGCCCCTCAGTTATACCCATACCACCTATCACTCAATCCACAAATCTAGTCACTTAATTCTGGTTAGTGTCTCCTGATTTCTTAATGGTTTGCACGGTTGCTGGGCTGGCCTTCTTCTGAAGTTAACTCATTCTTTTGGAGTTTTTTCCTTGGTCCTGATGTTCTGGAGAACCAAAACATCTATACAAGAAAGGATTTAATACATGAACTGGAGTAACCATTCTAGTATCTTAAGGTATAAAAGATAATCCAATAATAAAAAAATTGAAATCATCTGGCCCTCTTTTCTTGCAGATGTTTTTATATCCCCACTACCAATTTAGTAACATGATCATCTAAGAGTCTGGTTGTAGCAGGGACAAAGGTTGCAGACACAGTTAAGTGCCTGCCAAAACCTATTTCTGCTGGTGACAACCCCAGAGGGTGGAAAGAAGTATTTCTAATACCCCATAGCACTATTCCTAGAGGCCATCATCTCTCCATGTGTCTTATCATGAAACCACCTAGCCAAGGTAATTAAATACTTTCTTGGTAAAATGGATTATCTCCAAAGAGTCCAAATTCCAGTTTCAGCTTTCACAGCCTCACAACTTTCCCACTGAGCCCATTATTCCAGGGTATCCTCTGCATATATTTGGGCTGGATTATTGATCTCTGGTCAGCTATAAGCAGAGGGAGTTATTATGGTTCCACACTCATTATAGGTTGGTGGGCAGCAGCTTTAGTTGCTTTATCTGCCAAATCATTATTTGTTCCACTTTCGCTGTATCCTTTTTTATGAGCTGGACAGTGTAGTACAGCAATTTCCCATGGAAGCTGAATAGCTTTCAACAGCATTCAGATTTCAGTTCTGATAGAAATACTCCTTCTTGCTGGGGTAAGGAAACTTCATTATTTCTGTAGCCTACCCGTTGCATGACACACTCCAAAAACTTATTTGCAATAAGTGTGGCTGATGTCCCCACCGGGCTGCTGTTGGTAATGCAGTTAATTCAGACCCTTGGGTGCTCATCAAGGCTTGTAGAAGTTCTGCTTCAGATACCTCTAGGTTTCTTGATACTACATAGCCCATGTATCATTTTACATTCACATAGTATAAAGATCTGTGAAAAGGGTTAGATCTGAGTTCTCTAGAGGCTGATCCTGCAGATCTTCCTCTACGGGGTTTGAGTAAAACACTACCTTATCATGGGGGCTCATCGTTGTAAGGGACAGACAGTAAAATTGCTGGATTCAGAATATTACATCTTTTTAAGGTAATATTATCCTAAATTAAGGTCATTAATACACAGTGATGTGCCTTTTGTGGGGACAATGCTTGCTTAACATATCACTTAAAAATCAGTTTTACTTCATGCTGGACATACAGGGTTGTTGGGTGACCCGGGATTAGTGGCCTGCTTTTTTCTGTGATAGTCACTGATCCTGCTGTTGCTTTCATGCAA